GCAAGAAACCCTATGTTTTTCCATACAAAGTCCGTCCCCGAACGTCGATGATCTACCTCTGCGGTGCGACGGGTGCGAGACGGTCTCGTGTGTGGTCGGATCATTCTCGGATATTCTCGGATCATTCTCGGATCGGTTCCGCATTGTAAATGGGGTGTCACCTGTGTTTCGTGCATTTGTGGTCGACAGAATTCCATTGTGATTTGCAACTGTAGGATCGTTCCCGCATTGTAAATGGGGTTGCAAGTGGTGCTGGTGGATGAGTTGCTGATGGAATTCCATTGTGATTTGCAACTCTAGGATCGTTCCCTCACTGTAAATGGGATTGCAAGTGGTGCTGGTGGAGGAGTTGCCGATGGAGTTTTGCAGAAAGTCTCGCACGAAATACGTTTTTGAGAGATAGCAGATGCAAGAAACCCTATGTTTTTCCATACAAAGTCCGTCCCCGAACCTCGATGATCTACCTCTGCGGTGCGACGGGTGCGAGACGGTCTCGTGTGTGGTCGGATCATTCTCGGATATGTTCGGATCATTCTCGGATCGGTTCCGCATTGTAAATGGGGTGTCAACTGTTTTTCGTGCATGTGTGGTCGACAGAATTCCATTGTGATTTGCAACTGTAGGATCGTTCCCTTATTGTAAATGGGGTTGCAAGTGGTGCTGGTGGATGAGTTGCTGATGGAATTCCATTGTGATTTGCAATTGCAAGTGGTGCTGGGAGAGTTTTGCCGAATGGGAGTTTTGGCAGAAAGTCTCGCACGAAATGCGTTTTTGGAGAGATAGCACAGCAGATGCAAGAACCCTATGTTTTTTTTTTTTTTTCCATACAAAGTCCGTCCCCGAACGTCGATGATCTACCTCTGCGGTGCGACGGGTGCGAGACGGTCTCGTGTGTGGTCGGATCATTCTCGGATATTCTCGGATCATTCTCGGATCGGTTCCGCATTGTAAAATGGGGTTTCAACTGTTTTTCGTGCATGTGCGGTCGACAGAATTCCATTGTGATTTGCAACTGTAGGATCGTTCCCGCAATGTAAATGGGGTTGCAAGTGGTGCTGGTCGATGAGTTGCCGATGGAATTCCATTGTGATTTGCAACTCTAGGATCGTTCCCTCACTGTAAATGGGATTGCAAGTGGTGCTGGTGGAGGAGTTGCCGATGGAGTTTTGCAGAAAGTCTCGCACGAAATGCATTTTTGAGAGATAGCAGATGCACGAAAGCCTATGTTTTTCCATACAAAGTCCGTCCCCGAACCGCGATGATCTACCTCTGCGGTGCGACGGTTGCGAGACGGTCTCGTGTGTGGTCGGATCATCCTCGGATCATGGGCGGATTGGTCTCGGATCGGTTCCGCATTGTAAATGGGATTGCAAGTGGTGCTGGTGGATCAGTTGCCGATGGAATTCCATTGTGCTTTGCAACTGTAGGATCGTTCCCGCACTGTAAATGGCTGCGTCAAGGTTGCTTCATGCTGTGGCTGCATGCGTAATACGATTGTCTTTTGCAGCTGGACTTCGTAAATCGTATTGGAGTGGCTGCATGAAGGCTGCGACAGTGATTTGTCAGCAGATTTTCTTCATTTTGGCGCTAGTGATTTTCCTTCTAAAAATCTTTTTAAAAAGTGCTTCAAAATCTTTTTTTTTCGCTCTGGCGTCGAGATCCGGTTTTGGAGCTACAATTTCCGACGCCGTTGCGCGTAGTTCTATTGTGTTTTGCAACTCAGTGTCTGCAGATCGCATTGTAATGGCTGCGTCAAGGTTGCTTCCTGCTTTGGCTGCATTCGTAATACTATTGTCTTTTGCAGCTGGATCTCGTAAATCGTATTGGAGTGGCTGCATGAAGGCTGCGACAGTGATTTGTCAGCAGATTTTCTCCATTTTGGCGCTAGCGATTTTCCTTCTAAAAATCCTTTTAAAAAGTGCTTCAAAATCGTCTTTTTTTTCGCTCTGGCGTCGAGATCCGGTTTTGGAGCTACAATTTCTGACGCCGTTGCGCGTAGTTCTATTGTGTTTTGCAACTCAGTCTCTGCAGATCGCATTGTAATGGCTGCGTCAAGGTTGCTTCGTGCTGTGGCTGCATTCGTAATACTATTGTCTTTTGCAGCTGGACTTCGTAAATCGTATTGGAGTGGCTGCATGAAGGCTGCCACAGTGATTTGTCAGCAGATTTTCTCCATTTTGGCGCTAATAATTTTCCTTCTAAAAATCCTTTTAAAAAGTGCTTCAAAATCGTCTTTTTTTCGCTCTGGCGTCGAGATCCGGTTTTGGAGCTGCAATTTCCGACCCAGTTGCGCGTAGTTCTATTGTGTTTTGCAACTCAGTCTCTGCAGATCGCATTGTAATGGCTGCGTCAAGGTTGCTTCTTGCCACGGCTGCATGCGTAATTCTATTGTCTTTTGCAGCTGGACTTCGTAAATCGTATTGGAGTGGCTGCATGAAGGCTGCGACAGTGATTTGTCAGCAGATTTTCTCCATTTTGGCGCCAGCGATTTTCTTTTTAAAAATTCTTTTGAAAAGTGCTTCAAAATCGTCTTTTTTTCGCTTTGGCGTCGAGACCCCGGTTTTGGAGCTACAATTTCCGACCCAGTTGCGCGTAGTTCTATTGTGTTTTGCAACTCAGTCTTTGCAGATCGCATTGTAATGGCTGCGTCAAGGTTGCTTGGTGCCGCGGCTGCATGCGCAATACTATTGTCTTTTGCAACTGGACTTCGTAAATCGTATTGGAGTGGGTGCATCAAGGGTTCGACAGTGATTAGTAGTAGTGCTGGGAATTGATTAATGAAAGCTTAATAGATGACATATGAGAAGGGACGAGATGAGAAGAGATGAGCTGGGATAAGGTGAGAAGAGCTCAGATGAGATGAACTGTGGAGTGTGAAGAGTGCAGTGTGAAGTGTGGGGCGTGAAGAGTGCAGTGTGAAGTGTGAAGTGTGAAGTTTGGAGTGTGAAGGAAGCAGTGAGAAGTGAGAAGTGTGAAGTGTGGACTGTGAAGTGTGGAGTGTGAAGTTTGGAGTGCAAAGAGTGCAGTGTGAAGTGTGGAGTGTGAAGAATGCAGTGTGAAGTGTACAGTGTGAAGGAAGCAGTGGGAAGTGAGAAGTGTGAAGTGTGGAGTGTGAAGTTTAAGTTTGGAGTGCGAAGAGTGAGTGTGAAGTGTGAGGTTTGGAGTGTGAAGGCAGCAGTGAGAAGTGAGAAGTGTGAAGTGTGGACTGTGAAGTGTGGAGTGAGAAGTGTGAAGTTTGGAGTGTGAAGGAAGCAGTGAGAAGTGTGAAGTGCGAAGTGAGAAGGAAGCAGTGGGAAGTGAGAAGTGTGAACTGTGAAGTGTGAAGTGTGGAGTGTGAAGTGTGGAGTGTGAAGTTTAAGTTTGGAGTGCGAAGAGCGCAGTGTGAAGTGTGAAGTGTGAGGTTTGGAGTGTGAAGGCAGCAGCGAAAAGTGAGAAGTGTGGAGTGCGAAGTGTGGAGTGTGAAGTGTGAAGTTTCGAGTGCGAAGAGTGCAGTGTGAAGTGTGGAGTGCGAAGTGTGGAGTGTGAAGACTTTGCTTCGTCTCTCGCTGAAAAAAAGCCGCTTGTCGAGGGAAGGACACGGTCGGGACAGGCTGGCGTCGAACTATAGGTCATTTATGTTTGGGAAACTTCCGCCGCCGGCTTGCCCGGGTCTATGTTATACAAATCACCTAGTCACAAAACGTCAGAAACATTTCCAAAAGTTCTCAAGTCAAACTGGTTCTCGTCCAAACGCAAGTAACCAGCTAGCCGGTGTTACTAGTCTCTACCAAACGTCTAGACTAGTCACACGGCTAGTCAAGAACGAAATGTTCCACTCAAATTCCTATACAAAATCCTCTTGCAATACAGAACAACATGGGAACCTCATGTTCCATTTCCAAAACAGTTCCTCACTTAGAGATGTCTTCTCCTAGCTTCAAACTACAGAGGAGAGTAGAATGTTCTGCTCGACTTCTCCAAAACAGCTCTTCACACAGAGATGTCTTCTCATAGTTCCAAACTACAGAGGAGAGTAGAATACTCTGCTCGACTTCTCAGCTAATATCCAGTCATAAGCAGTCATAGCGCTAAAGTAGTTCGCTTACTGCTATAACCAAATGTCAGCAACAAGTCACAGACACAAAGATCATAACGTAGCTCTCCAGATCAAGTACCCGGAGGTTGACTACTATACGTAGGCATTGTCCTCGCAATGCCGAAGTATCTCACATACTCAAATGCTCTGCTCGACTTCTCAGCTAATATCCAGTCATCAGCAGTCATAGCGCTAAAGTAGTTCGCTTACTGCAATAACCAAACGTCAGCCAAAAGTCACAGCTACAAAGGTCACAAAATAGACTTCCAGATCAAATACCCAGAGGTCGAATAAGATACGTAGGCATTGTCCTCACAATGCCGGAGTATCTCGCATACTCGCAAAAAGTAATCAATAGGCTTCACCAACATCTCAGATGTACGAAGCAATGACAAGAATCGAAACGGATGACCCAAAACCATCTCAGTTAGATTCATACTCCTCCAAGAGGTCAAAGAACTTCCGAGATCGATGGAATCATAGCATCCCGACTCAACTGCATAGCGAATGCCAGAAGCATTCGCTCAGTACTGGAGAGGCACGGTTCCGTGGCTACGTTTTGGTGTAAGAAAACAACCCCAAAAAGAGGTTCCAGACATGCATGGAATATCCAAACAGGCGGAACCCCCCAAAATGTCATTGAATTTTCCTGCGGCACATGGTCACCGCACCTGGGGTGGCTTTGCCTGTCGGGCCATCTCTCGCAGCGACACGGTGCCACAATCAAAAACGGCAAAAGCAACAGCCAAACGCTGCAAGGCCAAAGGAAGCTGGAGGCGCTTGCCCAAAACTAAAAACTGCAATGCATGCATCAATCGCAACGAAGCCGTGCGCCATTGCCAGAGCGGTCGCACGAGTCACTTGGCCCAATGAAGTTAGACAAATGTTTCCCAAAGATGTCACTGCGAAGCTCCAACTGGCAAAATTAGTTTCCACTGGGCTTGAAAGAAAGTGGACAGAATTGTCGGTCAACCGTCACCCCCACAGCACTGCCCGCGGGCGGCAATTCAATCCCACAGTAGCAGTCCTCCAAAACTGCAAACCATTGCTGCTTCTGCCGGAACCCGAAGACAATGCGGCAGGCGAAATTTCCTGCCAGGGCTGGGTCGCGCAAACCAAAGAAGCACGATGCCAACCACAGCAAGCACGGCACCGAAGCCAACCACGCCAACCAAGCACAAGCCAACCAAACCAGACAAGCCAACCAAGCCAGCCAAGCCAGCCAAGCCAACCAAGCCACCCAAGCCAACCCAGCCAACCAACCAACCAAGCCAACCAAGCCAACCAATCCAACCAAGCCAACCGAGGCAACCAAGGCAACCAAGCCAACCAAGGCAACCAAGCCAACCAAGCCAACGAATCCAACCAAGCCAACCCAGCCAACCAAGGAAACCGAGGCACTCAAAGCAGCCAAGCCAACGAAGCCAACCAAGCCAACCAAGCCAGCCAACCCACCCAAGCCACCCAAGCCACCCAAGCCACCCAAGCCAAGCAAGGCAACCGAGCCAACCGAGCCAACCAAACCCATTCAGCGAACCAAGCCACCCAAGGCAACCAAGCCACCCAAGCCACCCAAGCCAAGCAAGGCAACCAAGCCAACCGAGCCAACCAAACCCATCCAGCGAACCAAGCCACCCAAGGCAACCAAGCCACCCAAACCACCCAAGCCAACAAAGCCAACGCAGCCAAGCCAGCCAACCAAGCCAACCACGGCAAGCAAGCCAAGCAAGCCAAGCAAGCCAAGCAAGCCAAGCAAGCCAAGCAAGCCAAGCAAGCCAAGCAAGCCAACAAGCCGAGCAAGGCAAGCAAGGCAACCAAGGCAACCAAGCCAACCAAGGCAAACAAGCCAAAGAAGCCAATCCAGCCAAAGAAGCCAACCAAGGCGACCAAGCCGACCAAGCCAAACAAGCCAACCAAGCCAACCAAGCCACCCAAGGCAACCAAGACACCCAAGCCACCCAAGCCAACCAAGCCAACCAAGCCAAACAAGCCAACCAAGCCAAGCCAACCAACCAAGCCAACCAAAGGAAGCAAGGCAAACAAGCCAATAAGCCGAGCAAGGCAAGCAAGCCAACCAAGCCAACCAAGCCAACCAAGCCAACCAAGCCAACCAAAGCAAACAAGCCATCCAGCCAAACAAGCCAACCAAGCAACCGAGCAACCAACCAACCAACCCACCAACCAACCAACCCACCCACCCACCCACGAACCAACCAACCAACCAACCAACCAACCAACCAACCAACCAGCCCAACCAACCAACCAACCCCAGCACCCCCACCCAGCCAAGGCACACAAAGAGCACCTCCACGACGAAGAGCAAGTCCACGGAAGAGCAGGTCCACGGAGAAGAACGTGTCCACGGAGAAGAGCATGCCGACGTAGAAGACAAGCGAGGTGCGGTGGGGCCTTCACAGGGATGGGTGAAGGCGAAGTGTTTAAATAAATCTCCCTTTGTGAATTAAATGAAAGTGTTGCTTGGAGCAATTTTATAGTGATAAACCTGGAGATGTTAACCCTCTGTTTGAAAATGCATCTAGAGAATCAGAGACGCAAGGGTATTTCAAGTGGACAATTGCTGTCACTCAGGTTGTTTATGAGCATCATTTTCTACAGAATAGCTGACACCAAGTCACTTGCGTAAAACTGTTTGTAGTTTGGGGGGTTACTTGGCCTTCTATAAAATCAGCGTCCCCAAGTATCATTCATTGACAGCTGACCTGCATACTCCAGTTGCTCTTGCTCGAGGTTTTCAGTGTCAACCTGTTTTCAACATGAAATCTCTATCGAGAATCGCTGACGCCAAGCTCCTCTATAAAAAGTGCAAACGTTGTTGACACTGGGTAGGTACCCCTAAACAAAGGAGGGCCCTAAAACACACCATGTTCCCAGGCTTACCTGTTGCGCTTTTGAAGCGGAAATTGCAAGGAGGATAAGTAAATCAGGATGCATGATAGCAGCCATTTGGAGTCACATATCTGCCAAGGCATTCTCATCACGCCAAAGAGGCGCAGAAACTGGGATATATATGGAATTTGCGTCAAGCCACGGGTCGGCTTCACGCGACCAAATATTGGTGCAGACAATCATGGGAATAGCATACGCAAAGATTTGATAAGCATGTTGCTGTGTCGGTGACTGTCCAAGCATGACCGGCGTGGAGCCGGCTTGAAAGAGCTGCCGGTTATTGAGCACCAGCTCTGGCTCACACTCGTCGAAGACGAGGCACTTGTGCAAAGTTCTGTCAAATCGCGTCAAATTGGGTTGCTGCACGTTTTGGCAGCTAACAACAAGCGTGGCAGCTGGTCCAAAGATGGACACAGCAAAGGACGTCTTCCCATATTGCGAAGGTCCATGCAAAACCAGGAAAGGAAATCTGGAGCGAGAGCCAAACCCATCAGTGTAAAGTTGCAGCCACTCTGTCACTGCGGGCAAGCAACGTGCCGGCTTTTGCAACTGGGACAAACGCACTTCCAGGACCTCTCGCATGGCTGCCTCGCGCCTCTGTTTCAGTTGCTCCTGCACAAAGGAAATCTCGGCAATGTGGTTCCGGATGCCTCGAACACGGCCCCGCAACAACTCCTCAATAGCAACCTCGTCAGACAGCTTGTAGAAACGCCACAAAGACATAATGGAGGTGGCTTCCACGAGAAAGTCTTGAAACCGCACATAGGTACTCTCACAGAAGACCGACCCAAACTTTGGAGCTTGCACATAATAATGGGCTGCATCGAGCTGCCGCTGCAATGCTTTGCCCCGCCCTTTGGTGCCACGTACATGTGGCAAGGCCCCACGAAACTCCCAAAGCTGCAAAGCCCCAAGGCGCAGAGGTTTCTCGAAATTCGACAGCGCCACATGAAAATGTACCAAATTCTGTTGCTTTGTTCTTTTCAAACTCAATTCCATCTTGCAGGAAAGCTGTGGCCAATTCTGGTTGCTTTTCAAAGTCAGTTCCGTCACAAACTCACGCCACAAGGCTTCGTAAAAGGCGGACTGTCGCACTGCAGCAACCAATTCATTGTGGGTGCCTTGCATCATGGCCAAAGCATCCACCTCTGGAGTGCCAGCTCCCCAGGAGCCATTGTAAGTCAAGAGAAAGCCATGCAGCCGTTCATCCGTCATCTGAGAAGTTGCACGACCTGCTGCAGATGAAGCGGTGCCCCCGCCACGCCTGCTAGCGCCACCAGATCTGTCACCAAACGTGCTCTCTGCTGGGAACGGCGGTGCTGGATGGCTGCTATCTGCCATGTGCAAGAACCAGCCGGTTTTGTGATCAGATGGCTGCTCCTGCCACAACTCTTTGGCTCGCGCAAGGCCGTCAGTATAGCTGGTGGCTTTCAAATGGGGCATGCGGCGCAACAGGCGGACACACCATTGATCACGAAAGGCAGACTTTTGGCGACTTGTCAAAGTAGAAACCGCGCTGCTGGCGCCGGGTGGAAGCACCCAAGAGGAGACCTTGGTCGCCCAATCAATCGAGAGACGCCGCCGCCGGCTGGGAGGCGGCGATGCAGCTTGATCTTCGACAGGCAACAGTGCCAACTGGCTATCACAGCTAGGCAGCACCACAGGTAACTCTGCAGCAACTTCGAACTCCAACATCAAAGCTTCTAAAGCGGCGTCCAAGTCTGTGCCATCATCATTGACTGCCATGATGCAACAGAAGAAACATGCAGAGGCCTTGGAACCTAATGTCAAGCAACAGGCGCACAGGCTGGCTCAAAGTGGCAGAGCCCGGGTGGAGAATCTACACATCGCAGCCTTCTAGTGGAAGGGCACAGAAAAGTATCCAGAATGCGAAGACAGAGCGGCCAATACTAGCACACCTTTGCCAGAACCAAAATGGGCCGGTTGGTCCATGTGATTTGCAGAGGCTGACCCTTCAGATTTGTGAGTGTGACTCTTCAAAATCCATGACTGTGGTATGGAATCACAATCGACACTGTGACATGTACATGGAGAGGAGGGATGTACAACATGTTTCGCACATAGAGGGACATGATAGTTGATGAATCAACAATCCTGTCGCCGCAAACGGCCAATGAAAAATGTTACGTCCGCCAAACTGTCGCGAACCCCACGTGTTTCTTTCGCGGGGCCCATGTTGGACAACATCGCCTCGTATGAAGATTCGTGCACCACCTGCCCAATTACGCCAGAGAAGCACGGATCACTTTTTGATAGGCTTTTGAAACAAGCAGCGAGCAGCACGGAAGCCCTTCGCAGGACAGATTCTGGCTGACTAGGTTTGTTTTTGGCATCGTTTACTGAAGAAAAAACGTTCGCACAGGTGCCCAACATAACAGGAACGGTCTTCGGAAGGAAAACGCTGTCCAAGGACTTTGACATGGCTCACCACATGTGCACAACGCAGGCGCGGATGCCCGCGGATGCCCCCGCGGATGCGGGACGACCCCTTCAAAGGACCACCGCGGATGCCAAAAACCCCCAGAAAAAGGCCGCGGATGCATTTCCGGCGTTTGAGAAATACAAAGTAATAGAACGCAACCCGCCCTGCGGATGCCCAATGGGGTGTGTGGCACATTGTATGGGGGGGAGGGGGTTTTCTGGGCTTTGCTGCTGTCCCTCGGAGACGTCTTCGCGTTAAGGGGTTCTCTTCTTCCCTCTTTTGGCTGCCATGCCTTTTTCCAAACTTTGCCTTGCCACGCGTTGTGTTCCCAGTCGGTATGGCTTCTTCCACAGTAGCTCCTGCCACGCGTTGCCTTCCCATCACGGGTCTGGCCCTGCCACGTTCTAGGTTCCTCTACGGGTGGTTTCTTCCAAACTTTGCCTTGCCACGCGTTGTGTTCCCAGTCGGTATGGCTTCTTCCACAGTAGCTCCTGCCACGCGTTGCCTTCCCATCACGGGTCTGGCCCTGCCACGTTCTAGGTTCCTCTACGGGTGGTTTCTTCCAAACCTGCGCCTGCCACGCGTTGATGTCATCAGAAATGGGTTCTTCCACAGTAGCTCCTGCCACGCGTTGCCTTCCCATCACGGGTCTGGCCCTGCCACGTTCTAGGTTCCTCTAAGGGTGGTTTCTTCCAAACCTGCGCCTGCCACGCGTTGATGTCATCAAAAATGAGGTCTTCCACAGTAGCTCCTGCCACGCGTTGCCTTCCCATCACGGGTCCCTCCTCCCAAACGCTGGCCCTGCCACGTTATAGGTTCCTCTAAGGGTGCTTTCTTCCAAACCTGCGCCTGCCACGCGTTGATGTCATCAAAAATGGTTCTTCCACAGTAGCTCCTGCCACGCGTTGCCTTCCCATCACGGGTCCCTCCTCCCAAACGCTGGCCCTGCCACGTTATAGGTTCCTCTAAGGGTGGTTTCTTCCAAACCTGCGCCTGCCACGCGTTGATGTCATCAAAAATGGTTCTTCCACAGTAGCTCCTGCCACGCGTTGCCTTCCCATCACGGGTCCCTCCTCCCAAACGCTGGCCCTGCCACGTTATAGGTTCCTCTAAGGGTGGTTTCTTCCAAACCTGCGCCTGCCACGCGTTGATGTCATCAAAAATGGGTTCTTCCACAGTAGCTCCTGCCACGCGTTGCCTTCCCATCACGGGTCCCTCCTCCCAAACGCTGGCCCTGCCACGTTATAGGTTCCCCTAAGGGTGGTTTCTTCCAAACCTGCGCCTGCCACGCGTTGATGTCATCAAAAATGGGTTCTTCCACAGTAGCTCCTGCCACGCGTTGCCTTCCCATCACGGGTCCCTCCTCCCAAACGCTGGCCCTGCCACGTTATAGGTTCCTCTAAGGGTGCTTTCTTCCAAACCTGCGCCTGCCACGCGTTGATGTCATCAAAAATGAGTTCTTCCACAGTAGTTCCTGCCACGCGTTGCCTTCCCATCACGGGTCCCTCCTCCCAAACGCTGGCCCTGCCACGTTATAGGTTCCTCTAAGGGTGCTTTCTTCCAAACCTGCGCCTGCCACGCGTTGATGTCATCAAAAATGAGTTCTTCCACAGTAGCTCCTGCCACGCGTTGCCTTCCCATCACGGGTCCCTCCTCCCAAACGCTGGCCCTGCCACGTTATAGGTTCCTCTAAGGGTGCTTTCTTCGAAGTTTGCGCCTGCCATGCTTTCAGTTCCCATCAGGGGCGTCTCCTTGCCATATGCGCCTGCCACGCTTTGGTTCCGGCACGTGTTGCCGCTTCCCACGCGTTGATTCCTCAAAGGTGCCTTTTCTTCTACAAATTGGCTCTGCCACGTTGTAGCTTCCCATAAGGTTTGTTTTTTCGAAGCTTGCGCCCGCCACGTGCTCAGTTCCCTTCAGGGCCGTCTCCTTCGTGTGCCTGCCACGCGTTGGTTCCGCACAGGGCCTTTTTCTTCAAACATTGGCCCTGCCACGTTATGAGGTCCCATAAGGGGTGGTTCGTCCGAGCCTGCGCCCGCCACGAGGTCAGTTCCCATCAGGGGTGTGTTCTTCCAAGTTTGGCCTTGCCACGTGCGCCTGCCACGCGTTGCTTCCTCCGAGTGGTGTTTCGTTCCAAACAACATTGGCCCTGCCAGGGTTTGAGGCCCCATTACGGGTTGTTTTTTCCGAGCCTGCGCCTGCCACGTGCTGACTCCAGCTGGGGTTGGTCCTCCACAACTTGGCCCTCCATATGGGGTAGTTTCTTCCAGGTTTCTGCCTGCCACGCGTTGACCTCCCATCAGGGATGCTTCCTTCGGAAACTTGCCTGCGCCTGCCACGCGGCCTGCCACGCGTTGAGTTTCCATGCGGGGGTTGCCCCTTCCCACCCACGGGTTTCACAAGTCGGCTCCGCAAACCATGCAAAGAAGGTACACATCGAAAAACAGACACAAATGAAGCGGTCAATTCAGCTAACGTGACGAATTGTCGCGCACCAATCGGCTTCCCACCGTGCAAAACCACGCCATCAACTTACAATTGGCCGCATGGGGCCTGCAAAACCAAAATGAAACAAGGTGGGCCAGAGAACTCACAAGCAACACGGCGTACAGCACGCCTTTTTAACAAAGTCTTGCGCTATGGGCAGCTGTGCTCTGCACGAAATGGACGTAAGATCTTTACTGAAACATCGTTCGCACTGATGGTATCAGGGGCCACAACTCACCACAGCATGCTGTGCCAGCTACGCCCATTGGCCGCGTGGGGTCTTCAAAACCAAAATGAAATACATCTATATCGAGTGGTCTTTCTTGTTTTTCTGCTTTGTGGTTCTATGGTTTCTCGTTTTCATTGGGTTGATTGGTGTCATCCTTTCAAAAATACAGGTGCACCCAGCTCGGGCGGCCTCCGGTCATGGAATTTCTCCGTGTATCTGCAGCCCCAGCTACTTGAACATGTCCTGAGCTGATCTTGCACTGTTGCGCTGTCACCGTGGCAATGGTTGGCTGCAACACTGGCAACCGGCACACAACACATCTTCTGACATTGGTGTTTCTCATACTCCAACAGGAAAAAAAAACCGTTTGCGCAGCTGATCTTGAACTGCCAAGCTGTCCCCTAGACCAGATTGATGGATTTCCACACAAACACGTCTAATCCAAGAAAAAATGAGGTCCAAAGAAACATCGCCCAGTGTTACAATCTGTTCACTTCTGAGCTGATTTTGAACTGCTGCGCTGTCACCCTAGAGATAACTGGCTCAAACACTGGCATGTGGTAGTAAAAAAAAAACTTTGCCCCATGCGAAATGACGGAACGTGCACATGTTTTGAAAACCCTGTTTTTGACCTTCCAACATGGAAATAACAACCGTGTCGTGCAGCTGATGTTGAACTGCCGAGTTGTACCCTGACAGATGCATGAACTGCCACCCAAACGCGTGCATCCGAAAAAAAACGTCTCTCCGTGTCACCATGTGTTCACGTCTGCGTTGAGTTTGAACTGCTGCGCTGTCACCTGCAGAAGCATGGCTGAAAGGCTGGCATGCGCTGTTCCACAAACACAACGCTGCCCCATGTGGAGTCACGGGAGGGTCACATGTTTCCAAAATGCTGTATCTGACCTTCCAACATGCAAATCGAAACCGTTTCGTGCAGCTCCTGTTCAACTGCACAACTGTCCCTGAAAGTTTTGTGCATGGCCGCACAAACGCGCCTAGTCTCCCGCAGTGATGGTGGGTCCCAGAAAAAAAAACGTCTCCCAGTGTTACAGTCCGTTCAGTCCTGAGCGGAGCGTCAACTGCTATGCCGTTACTCTAGCGATGGATGACTGAAACACAGGCATATGCCATTCAAACAAACATACCATGGCGCCATGCAGATCACATGTTTATAAACTCCTGGTTCTCACCTGCCAACATGAAAATAAAAACCGTCTATGACAGTGATCTTGAACTGCAGAGCTGTCCCGGTAATGATGCATGGATGCCACAGAAACACGCCTCGAATCCTACAAACAAGTCGGTACACAGAAAGCGTTTCCCAATGTTAGAGTCTGTCCACTTCAGAGTTGATCTTGAACTGCTGCGCTGTCACCCTTGAGACGGCTTGCTCAAACACAGGCAGGTGCTGCCGGAATTGTACCACATGCAGGTGCGGAACGTGTTGCACACTCCTTAGCTGATCTTGAACTGCAGAGCTGTCACCCTACAAATGGCTGGTTTACACCTTCGCATGTGGTGTGCAAACCAAAACAAGCTTGTTCCTTCCGGAGCAATGGAGTGTTTCTCACCCTACAACATGAACATGGAAAAATACCCCTTTTCATGACATGTCCCTTGAACTGCCCAGCCGGTCCGCCACAGCTAATTGACTTACTAGGAAAGCGGCAGTTAACCTGACTGGGCGGACGTTGCTTCTGACCTCAGGCACCCAGAAGTTACCCCATCCCAATGGCACACCGGGTTACCTCAGCCCATCCGCAAGTTACCCTAGGGACCAAATCCTATTGGCACACTAGCACCACACCATCGTTGGTCTGAGTCTGGCAAACAAAATATGTAAAAATGTGTCCGTGATAAAACCATGTTGAAAGTGGCCAACCGCCATTGGCACACACGCATTGACAGCAAAACAGCTGCCTTGAATCTTCCGCCTGTTTGAACAGTCAGAACAATCATCCTCCGCATGGAAAATTCAAACCTTGATGTTGAATTGCGGAGCTGTTTCCCCACAGGTTCACGGATTGCCACAGAAACATGTCTAGATCGGCCAAAAAGCTGGTCCCTAAAAACTCATTCCACTGTTCGAATCTGCTGCCAGAATCGCAACGGCGCAGATGCGGAACATGCTGCGCATTCCTTAGCTGATGTTGCAGTGCACTGCAGCGGGCACTCACATGAAAGTCACGATGCAGCAAGAGATTCAAACTCATACTTGGAAATCCCAGCATAAATCTGCCAGAGAATGGAAAGGAGGTCCAATACAAGGTCCACATACATCATGCTTGTACCACAAATGTGAAAATTAATGTCACCGACCCCGTGTGCAAGATCGCGCTTGGCGGTCATCTGAAGCACGTCCCAACAGCAGATGGAAGGTGGAACATGTCCAAAGATATTGGTTTGAACTCACGGCTTGCCATGGTCCAGCAAAGTGCATACAGGGTCACTTCGAAGAGGAAAGCAGCAGCTCAGCAGCAAAGCAGTTCCCAAAGCACTGCACCAGGCGTCCTGTGCAGTTTTCTGCAGCACTTGAAACGATCCCTCAAAAATAAAATGCCTTCTTACAGCAGCAAAACGATTTTCCGCGTTTTTTTGCCAGTGCAAGGTTGGCATGCTTGGACTTGTCACTGCTCCAGTCCATGCAGCCACAACGCAACAGTCGAAGTTTTCCGTTCAGGAACCAACGCTGCCGCGTAAGCAAGGTCGGGCATGCACCTGAAAACCGTCTTGCCTTTTCTCCCAGTGGTTTGGCAACGAAACCATGTGGAAACATACACTGGCTCCTCTACAAGGCTTTATGACCTGCCCATAGTATTATGTTTTTTTTTACCTCGCATTCCAATGTTCTCTTTCCACAGGTTCTGCCAAATTCTAGCACCAGTCCGGTAGAGGAACACGCCAATGGCTTACAAAGTAGTTTACTTTATGACCAACAATGCCGCAGCATGCACGCCTATAGTGGGCAAGAGGTTGTCTCGGCTACATGCTCGTTTCTTTCACAAGCAAGCCCATCCCTTTTAGAGATTCTGCTTTGCAGTTGCTCCGCAGTGAAGATTGGACCTAATCTTGCGCTGCTTCAGCAGCGGTGACCAACTTCCGCAAATCACTCAGACTCAACTGCTTTGCTGTCTTCACAAGTTTCTGCTGCTTTTTCAGTGCATTCTTCAAGTTCTGCCGATTGACCTCATGAATGCACAGGCAAGCCCTTCCCAAGGACCCGCAAGTAACAGGCTCACAGTTGCCAAAAAGTATCTGATGCCACGCCCCCAACTCGCCAAGTGGCACTGATTTCTTTGCGCAGCTCTTGTCGCTTGGCTTTCAAGGTATCGAGCTCTTCACGCAGAACCTGCCCTAAACCGGGCCCGGAAAAAGGGGTACAAAAATCAACGAAAACTCCGTCCACATACCAGAGCCCTGCCAGTATTGATACACATGCTGACCATAGCTAGTGGCATAGTTGTCAACTGCTATGTATGGACAGCAAGAGAAAAGCATATTCTGGATCTTGATATGTCTGGAGAGAGAGGAGCCTAAGCAATGATATAGACTTTGCGGCTCTAAGCAGGAAAGGGCGCACCTTTCCTCAGTCCAAGGCCGGCATGATTGGGTCTGTACAATGATCCAATCCATGCAGCCACAAAGCAACATTCGCAGATCTCCCTCGGGGAAACAATGCAGCTGCTTGGTGTAAGGTGGGCAAGGCAGTGGGAGCTGTCTTGCCTTCCCCCCAATTCAATTGGTGACGAAGGCGTTTGGACAAGTACAGCTGCTGCCCTAAAAGGCCTGTTTGCAAAAAAGCGTGGGACCAATCTCTGTCAGAGATTGTTCTCCGCACTGACTCCTCCGTCTCCGCACTGACTCCTCCGTCACACGCAACCACTCCAACGTGGTCATGTTTCCATTCAGGAGCTCCCCTTTAGCTGTCACCCAACATTCAGCCATGGTTTTCCTCAACACAGCTAAAACACAAGTGTCAAGCGGCTGCAGGAACGGCGTGCATTTTGCCGGTACAAGCACAGCACGCCAGCCTCTGTCTCGAATAGCACGAGCAACCGGGGCTGCTAGATGCGGCGGCGCCATATCCATCACGAGCACAATGGTGCGATGTGGGCACTTCAGGGCGTCCACGGCTACGCTCAAAGAATGCAGAAACTTCAGCATAACGTCCACAGTCACCCAAGACGACTGCTCACACCAAATCTGCAAGTTGCTTCCTGTCAGCTTTGCATCTGCGGCAATGGCAGCCAAGACGCGCTTGGACAGATGGTGCTGGTTTCCAAGGACTATCTGTGGCAGGCGTTGGTTGAGACTTGTATCAGACGACACACATGACATGAGCGTCATGGCCCCTCTGCATGCAGCTAGTGTTGCCTTCTGACCAGCATGGACGTCGGCTATGGTCCCAGAAAGTCCAGTCAAAGTGAGCTTCAGCGAGCATTCATCCATGTTGATCACCAGCGGCTCATTCGCAGTGAAGACAACGTGATTCATCCAGCGATAGAAACCCATCGCCTGCGCAAACATCGCTTTGGAACGCATGCAAACAGAACCCCGGAAAGGAAGAACAAAAATGACCCCCAAAATAGGGGTTCCTAAGCCTGGAAGCAATGAAACGTTGATTTTCGGGCTGGTCGTACCCCTGTTTCGGGGGCAAGTTTGGGAACCACGTTACGGGTGTAAATAATATGGTACTGGCAACAGGGAAGCAGACTAATCTTGGTTCAAACTATAAAATTCAGAAAGTGCAAGGGGCCTTCTCTCGAAGCTCAGCTTCTGGTATGGCGGGATGAAGTGGCAATCGGCCAAGCCGCGCTTTCCAACGCAAGCGGAACTTGCGACACCAATGTCTCTGTAGCCGAGGCGCACCTTGGAAGCGGCGCAAAAGCACTTGCGCAGCTGCCGCGGGAATGCCAACAGGAATCTCTTTGGTTGCTTGCCGCATCAAATGCAAACGTCCTGGGGCTACACCTCTGCAGTTCTGGCAGCGCGTCCACAACCACAAGCGGTACTGCACCAAAAAGTCCGCTACTTTTGCAGCATCGCGGGCAGGAGGGTCTATGACTAAGCGAACTAAGGCAGTTGCACGGCACTCTGCGTACATGCGCAGGATTTCTGTCTCTGCTTCTTCAACGTCAAACGGTATGGGTTCGGTATGTTTCGCACGCAGAAATTGCACAGCTGCTTCCATGTCATGACCTCCCCAAATCAGAACCAACAATGTTTCCCAGGAATGCTTCTCGCACAAACGCTTGTGGCTGGCCAGGCTTCTCTTCAGCCTTTTTTCAGCTAAGTAGATGCGCTGACTTAAGGCTTGCAGCTCGGTTGACTTCATTGCAACCATGAAACGACCGGACTCAGCAACGCATATGGTGGCAGCAGGTGCCAGCTTGGACCAAACAGATTGAGAACCGTGGCCAAAAATGAACAGCAAGGTTAGCAAGCCCAATGGCTCCTTCATACGTGCAAAATCCCGGGCGGGAAGCTGCAAGACATGTCAGACAGCAAAGGTATAGATGTCTGGATAGAAAGGCAAAACCTGAAAATTGGCGCATACCGTGCCATCTTTCCGCTGCCTACCTACCACGAAGTCAGCAGCTCATGGCACCTAGATAGATTCAAGGTTCTCGACGTCAACATAAACAAAGTAAACACATATTGCGAGACATAGCCCCATGTGTTCCATAGAGCAGACTGGCTCCGATGCATTACAAACAGCACTTGGCTAGCTAGAGATTCTCATGTATGGAGGAAGAACAATGTATACTGGAGAGGCACGGTTCCGTGGCTACGTTTTGGTGTAAGAAAACAACCAAAAAGAGGTTCCAGACATGCATGGAATATCCAAACAGGCGGAACCCCCCAAAATGTCATTGAATTTTCCTGCGGCACATGGTCACCGCACCTGGGGTGGCTTTGCCTGTCGGGCCATCTCTCGCAGCGACACGGTGCCACAATCAAAAACGGCAAAAGCAACAGCCAAACGCTGCAAGGCCAAAGGAAGCTGGAGGCGCTTGCCCAAAACTAAAAACTGCAATGCGTGCATCAATCGCAACACGAAGCCGTGCGCCATTGCCAGAGCGGTCGCACGAGTCACTTGGCCCAATGAAGTTAGACAAATGTTTCCCAAAGATGTCACTCGAAGCTCCAACTGGCAAAATTAGTTTCCACTGGGCTTGAAAGAAAGTGGAATTGTCGGTCAACCGTCACCCCCACAGCACTGCCCGCGGGCGGCAATTCAATCCCACAGTAGCAGTCCTCCAAAACTGCAAACCATTGCTGCTTCTGCCGGAACCCGAAGACAATGCGGCAGGCGAAATTTCCTGCCAGGGCTGGGTCGCGCAAACCAAAGAAGCACGATGCCAACCA